TTGTTGTTGTTTTTAAGCCCTTAATCCCTAAGCTATTCTTGATTTCTCAGAGCCTATTCATTAGATTTTTCCTGACACTTGATTTTTGCATAAAATCCAATTTTCATCCTAGGACTTTCCCTGTGAAATATTTTGTAGTTTTAGCCTAAGGATTGCAATCACACTGAGATTAAAAAAAACAAAACAACAACAACAACAAAAAAAACAAAAAACCACTATAATTGGCTCATTGTTCCTTATTTAAACTTGGCTGCTAGACCCATTCCTCTTAGTAATGTTGACACTAATTGCCCGGAGGAGGCAAATGATTTTTGAAAGTAGGATTATATGTTTCTTCTTATGTATTATAAACTTACAATGTTTTTCATGTGTTTCACAAGTATGGTCAGCTTCATATCCTCATACGATATCACTAACTGTACCTTAGGATTCTTGTCTGGAAACTTCTCACCTGAGAAAACAACAGAATTTCAGTGAATTAAGTTGGAAGGAGCTCATGACAGAATAAATCAAACATTTAAAGTCTAAAATAGGACCAATAAATAATATGTTAAAGACACATTTTTTTTTCAGATAATGTTGAAATCTTAATACTTGTCAGGAGGCAGGGTTGTTTAGTTAGAGGTGGGATTTGTGCCTAATCTTCCTGAATTAACTCTTTCTTCTAATGTTCCATGTTTTATTTTGATTGATAACCATTATTTTCACAATTACTTAAGCTTGAAACCTCGTTTTTGGCTCCAATTTTCTCCTTAATGCTCAGGATAATGAGCTTAAAGTATTAGAAATCATAGAGGTTAAAAATGTGGGCTTTTGAAGTCAGTGAAATTTAGGAGCAAGTCCCAGCACTAATTGTGACCACGTCACGTCATTATGGCTAAGATGATCAACTTTCAGTGAAATTAAGATAAAAGTTACCTATTGCTGGATAATTCAGATGATTCTAAGTCGCTTACTAAGCACCCAACAGCTGTTTGCAATTACTGATCGCCTTTCTCTATATATCTGTGCTCCCTTCTTTCTTTCTTGTCCCCTAGACCCTAATTCAGACCCAGGTGTAAACTTCTTGCCTGAACTATTAGAACACTCTCTTACTGTCCCTCTAGAACCCCAATTCATTTATCCTCAGCTACAGGTAAAATTTTCTATAGGAACTTTTATAAAATGACTCTTTTGATCAAAGTGCTTTTCATAGATTTCCATTGCTTATGAAAAACATCCAAATTTCTTAGCCTGGTATTGCTGCTTCTCATCTCTCTGTTTTATTTCCAACTATTCTTCTGTGCTGAAGTCCACATGTTTAATTTTGCAGACACTCTCCATCATTTCTTTTTTCTCATTCCCTTCCTTTGCAATGATCTTGTCCATCTTTGTTGGCTATTGAACTGCTATCTTTCTTTAAGGCCTAATTAAAATGCAGAATAGTTTCTGTTGTCACTTTTCCTTGAACACCTGCAGCACTGCTCTCATCATTTAATGTTTATATAGCTCAATTTATTTAGTGGATTGCAATCTATCTCATGTTTTTCTTCTTTTCCTATTTCTCCAAGGGACATAAGCCAATGTTTGGTTTATAATCTATACATTGAACATTTATTTAATAACAAAAGTAACGTCAAGTTTTCTTTGCATTACATGATTAAAATGAATGTTAGTATTTTTTTTCATTAAAAATTTCTGATTCATAGACCAATAGGCATAATTTCCAATTTTTTAAAACTTCCTTTGATAGTCTCTGATTGTCTTTTTTTCTAAGGGAATTTAGTGAGAAGAAACTTGTCAGTGTTCACCTGTGAACTCACTATGGTTCATGTTCTTTTCTGATAATCAATCCTAATTATCTAATCTTTTCTAATATTTGGAAATAACATCAGAGCAGTATCTTTCCTTCCCAAAATCCCATTATCAGTTTTTCCAGTAGTTTACTTATCATATATAGGTAATAAAATCAACTAATTTTACTGATAATAATGTGGATTATAGACAATAAAAAGAGTATTTCTTACAAGTGAAATGTTTATTATATTAATATAATAAAACATCACTTAAAATATCTTTATCACAATGACTAAGAGACACTGTAAGTTAATTCTGAGTGTAGTTCTTAGGAAAATTACTTTTCATAAAAATGTTGAATTTTTGGTGTGAAGGTGCTAAAAGTGCAGATGACATTTTAGTGCACAATGAATATTGTATTTTAATTAAATTGTGAAAGAATTATTAAGTAAATACTCAATATAATTAGTCAGAGGAGTTTTAATTCAAAGGTAGGAAATATACCTAAATTTATGGCTGAGGCCCTAAATAGTAAAGATACAATTGCTACTTGAGCACATTGAAGATAATATTCTACTCTAGACCACTCAGCAAATTAGTAACCCAAGTTTCCATGAAAACATGCCTGAGTTTAGAACCCAGTGAAAACTGGGCCAGCAGGAAGTCTTAAAAGTCAATGTCCTAGTAGCAGAGGGAATTCTTTTTTCTCTAGCTTTTACTGTGTGCTAGGGTAAGAGCTTTAAGTATGTCACTCACCAAGTCCTCATAGCAAATCTACAGTTTGTCTTATCCCCATCTTACACATAGGAAACAAAGGAACTTGGTTCAAGATCATGCAGACAATAAATGGTTCAGGATTAAATGATATCCAAAGGCAGTATTTGATAAAAATTGTGTTGCAAAGGGGCAAAAAGAGGACCACAGCATAAGTGAACTAGTTTAAATTAAGAGCCTAAGAAGGAAAATTTGAGAACAGCTTGATGTGGACATGAAGCTGCTAGAGTATTTTGATCCTTCTGCTTCAAGTTAATCTGGGGGATTTTTACCATGCTTTATTTAATCCTCAATAATAACCTCAAGAACTGTTAAAATATTATTAATCATAAGCATAATTGTGTTGTGATGCTTATGTGCATAGAACCACTACAACTAATGCATTTCTGCATAATGTATTATGCATAGTGTATCCACCTGCATTAAATATAACATTTCAAAATTTAATTTATTAAGATGATAACATATACATGTGATTAAAAAATTAAAAATATTTTAAATGTACATAGTAAGAAGTCCTCCTCCCATTCCTAACAGTTATCCATCCAAATCCCTCACTTCCCCATATATTTTTCCACAGAAGAACACATATTCTGTTAAGAGTTGTTCCATGTAAGCATCTGCGAATAAATAATTGTTTTCCTGCTTTTCCATAAAAGGCACAGTACATTTACTACTCTGCACAGAGATCTTGGAGATATTTTCCTATCAATAATACAGGTTTTAAAAAATGTATAGTTTCAATTATGTGGAAGTGCCATAATATATTTAATCAGTTCCCCATTGAGTTTTGTAGCTATTGTAATTACACCGCAACGTATCCTCTTGTACGTGTCATGTTGTACCTGTACACAAATATCCTAGAATAAAATTTTAGCAGCAGACTTGCTGGTCAAAGAGTATTAGCATTTGTACTTCTGTTAAATGTTGCCAAATTGCCTTCCAAGGGGCTTGTACCAATTTGCATTTCCACCAGGCGGCCTGCTGATTTATCACCAAGTCCGTTAATTAAATTTTTGGGATTTTGCCAATCTGATGAGAAAAAGTGGTATCATTATAATTTAATTTGCATTTCTTTTATGAGTGAGGTTGAGTATCTTTTCATTTTGTTAACAGCCACTTATATTTCTTTGTGTGTGGATTATCTTTCCATGTTCTTTATTCAATATTCTACTTGGTTGTTGGTCTCTTCCTTACCTTTTTGTAAGAGACGGTTATGTGTTAGATAATCCTGGACTTTGTGAATTGAAAATATTTTTAACAATTTTTTCATTTATCTTAGCTTTTTTTTCTTTGTAATCTGTTTGATGCCAGGCAAAATGGTCTACTTCTGGATTTGCAGTCATAGCTATCCATTTAAGATGATGATGGATTTTTCTGTTTTCCTTATCACATATATTATTTACATTTAAAATTTCATTACTTATTATTTACATTTAAAATCTTTCCTCTATTAGCTACTTATTCTGGCATATAATGTGAAGTATATTATCCTAATATTACTGAATTTTGCCTTAGTGTTTTGATCACATGCTAAATTCTCTATGTATTTGCCTTTATCTATGAGCATTCTAATATGCTTCACCTATTCATTAATTTATTTATGTGCCAGGACCACAATGTTTAAACTACAGTAGTATTATGTTTTTATATCTGGTAGGGCTTGTCTTCCCCAAATGCTCTGCTCTTATTAAGTTTTCCTCATTTTTCTTTGTTTTGTTTATGAACTGTAGAATTAGGTTATCTAGTTAAAACTTTTTTTAAAAGAATTACATTATATTTCAAAATTAATTGGGAATATCTGACATCTAAGTTATTGAATCTTTTTACTCAACAGCATGATGTGTCTTCCCATTTGTTCACAATGTCTTTCAAATGCCTCAATTGTGTTAAAATGCTTTATTTATCAGAGCTTACACATTTCCTCTTAAATTATTCCTAGGCCTTTTTTTCCTGTTATCATTGTAAATAAGATCTTTTATTCTTTTAAATAGTCTAACCAGTTACACAACACACATACACACACACACACAAACACATACATACATGTATCAACAGATGTTGATACATCAATTTTGGATCTGACTCTTTCACTGAATTCTATTATTTGTGATAGATTTTTAGTTGAATCTTACTTTCCTAAGTATGTTATCACATTACATGCAAATAATGTTGGTTTTGTCCTCTTGCCAAAGTTTATGTTTCTAAATTCTTTTTCTATTTTATTTGCCATCTTACAAATATTTATTGACCTATTAAGAACAAGTCAACTGTTCTATGCCTTTGGTTACTATAAGGAACAAGTCAACTGTTCTATGCCTTTGGAACCAAACTTTTATTTTATTTAACGTTTTATCAAGAAAGTCATCAAATTTTCTCAAGTTTATTTTTAGGGTTCATAGAGGTGACTATATGATTTTTCTACTTAGGTCTCCTTATATATAATACTAATATTGAACTGTTCTTCATTTCTGGTCATGATGAATTATATTTCTTTAGTATGCTTATGGATTATTTGACTAATATTTTATTTAGAATTTTCCATTGATATTCATAAGTGAGATTGGGCTGTGCTTTCTTATTTGCAACCCTTGTAATTCTTGAAGCTCCTCGCATGAATGCTTTATATGCTTCAAAAAATAATGTGGAAAGATCCACCTATTTCTTTTTTTTTTTTTTTTTTTTTGCTCTTGAATTGTTTAAATGCCAGTGTAACTATCTGCTTCTTCAGAAAAAAAAAAAAAATCACTCACCATGCTACTTTTTAAAAAGCTATAAAATTTTGGGTACTTTGGGAAACTTTTTATATTTATTTGATCAAACAATCTCTTAGAATCATCTTCTCTGGGATGAGCAAATTGTATTTTCTGAGAAAATAATCAATTTCAGGCAGGCTTACAG